CACGGCCCCTCCGTCCGTTCTGTTGCGCCGATTACTCTAACGCCTTTCATGTTCATCCACCGCCTTACCGCAGATGGAGTGCGCGCCAAAACTGCGCGACTTCACGGCCCCTCCGTCCGTTCTGTTGCGCCGATTACTCTAACGCCTTTCATGTTGATCCACCGCCTTACCGCAGATGGAGTGCGCGCCAAAACTGCGCGACTTCACGGCCCCTCCGTCCGTTCTGTTGCACCATCAATTCCGGCGACTTCTGTGCGCCCCGCCCGCTACTACAGCAAGGCAGAACAGTGGACACGACCCTTCCGCCGTGCCGCATTCTCCACCCGACCTCCCCTGAATGGATTGATCGGTTGCTGTGACACTCTCACCAGTGTCTCCAGCGGCAGCAGACTGCTGTACGCAAGCACTGCCGAACGTACTACGAAGAGAGTTGGTGTCTTGGAATGCACCAAACCCACCTGCAGCAGGGACCTCCACATCCCGCACCAGGGCGCCTTCCACGCCCGGCCTACTGCTGCTCTCTCCTCCAGCAGTGTCGCCCTCCCTGACGACCACCGCAGGATACAGCTCTCCGTGGCTGCTCGGCGGAACCCCCAATTCCGCCGCACCCGCGGCGCCCTCTTGCAGCGCCGCCGACCCCTCCTGGCCTTGCCCTTCCGACTCGGCCTGCAGTAGCGATGGCAGCATGCCCATCATCTCCTGCACCTCTGTCATCTCTACTCGTTCAGTTACTGCTCCGTTCCAGTCAGAAAGCGTCCAGTTCAGAGTTGCGTACCCTGGCTGCTGGAACCCCGCTGCCTCTCGCTTGGAATAGCCCGCACCGTCTTGCGGATCCTCCCGGGAGGACGAACGCTAGCGTGTTCGTGAGCCCTAGCCCTGTTAAGGGCCGGCGGACTTGGGGCTGCTGTTTAACTGTGTGTATTAGCTCGCATGAGAGAGGAAAAAGGGAGAAGGAGGAGAGGCCCCAATTCTCGAGAGAACACGGGGACTCCGCACTATCATCCAAAGCCTCTCACCACATGCCCTTCAACTTGTCCCAGCTGCGTCCTACGTAACGGCTACTTTTCGATTATCTACTTCTACGCAAGAACATATTATTATTTTGTTTGCCCTCCGACAATTGCAGATAAATGCAGACATATCCGTCCATTCGAATGTGTACATGTATAGAGTTCTAATTCTTTAGCTCCTACGCATGACGTGTGTACTCGGGTCATTGCATGTAATCCCACAGGCTTGCTACGACGGGGCGATGGCCATGAACGCCCGTGGCCAAGGAGTGCAGCTGAAGAGAGCGGAGTGTTTCACGCACGCTTGCGGTGCGTTGTGGCCTGGAAGCGGGGAATTGGACGCCTCTGTGGTTGAGGCGTTCTCGAGTTTGAAGTGGCAGCCGTCCCTCGCAAGATCTACATAATTTGATATGTTGGCGTGTGGCAAGGGTACTGTACTTGGTGTGTTCAACCTCGCGCCTTAGGCGCACTGCTTTTGTATCAGGGTCAAAGGCCGAATTTTATTGTCGTTGGTCATGCTTTCTCGCCCCACCATTGGTCTCGGGAGCTCCGCGGTCCTGTGGGGGTGCCGAGAAACACCGACCCTGTATCGATTTGTGCTTGGAATGTACCGGCCTCGACTGCTTGTGCTTGGAATGAATGGAGAACTAGAAGTCCGGGGAAATTGTGCCTAGCCTGTTTCATGTTTATTTTTTTGCTTATTTTTTTGCTCCCATCATTGGACTCTGTCGTCTGCCCCTCTGGCCCCTATCCTGTGTTTTCTCCCCCCCCTTCCCCCCCCCC